AGCGCCCCCGGCTTGGAGCCTCCTTACTGAGGCTCACCTGGGGGTGCCACTTGAGGCGGCACCCCTCCAACACCCCTGGAGCGCAGAATGCCTCCCCTGTTCAGGAGAGAGCCTCCGCCATCGCTGAAGCCATTATTATTTTTATTATTATTTATTGGGCTTATATCCTGCCCTCCCCACAAGCGGGCTCAGGGCGGGTCACAACAGTTAAAATACAACATAGTAATAAATCCAAATACAAGCACAATTTCATAGAAAAAACAGCAACAAATGGCAGAAAACTTCAATTTCCAGTATCCACGGGCGCCTTCAGTGCTGGGCATATGCTGGCAAAGATAAGGACCCAGTCAGCAGATGCCATGGCAGTCTCTAGAAAGAACAGTTCATCTGGGCAGTATAGGTAGGGGAGGCCAAAGTATTTAGATGTCCGCCATGTCAATCAAAGGCCTGGCAGAACAGCTCCATTTTACAGGCCCTGCAGAATGCCAAGCTCTTGCAGGATTGGCTACATTAGGGGTGTATCGCCTAATATGCAAAGGAGTTCCTGCTACAAAAAGAGCCCTAAATCCCACAGAGCATGCTCCACCAGGGCAGAGAATGCTCTGTCCCTGGTGGAGGCTAAGCAGACGTCTTTCAGGCTGGGAACTACCAGCATATGTTGCTCAGCAGAGTGCAAAGTTCTATGGGGCACATAGGGGCATAATGTCGCTTTCAGTGATTCCTAGAATGATGTGATGTCACTTCCAGCTTTCCCCCAGAAGTGATGTCATGCTACTTGCAGTGCCAGCACCCCCATCTCCCTGTTTCCCCCTATCCTGTCAGTTGCCAGCTATTGGCTGGCAACCCTAGCCAAGAAAGGGTGATAGGACCAAGGTCAAGGAGGGGCTTGAACGTGGATCTTTAAAATTGTCTAACCATTATATCACACTGGTTTTCCACTTCCTTCTCTAGACTTCACTCCCAGTCCTATTGTTTGGTATGAACATTACCCTTTGCAGCTGCTATTTGTGGCAGGGGAGAAAGAGCATGCCCTCCTATCTCAGGTCTGCCAGAGGTCCACTCATCAGCACAAAGATTGCATAGGGCCAATGCACATAAAATCCAATGCATTAAAGGGGTTCAACTGTACGACTGAAACACATCTAGAAACTGGATATTACACACACAGGCTCCACAGTCACACATGGAATACTGGTGTATACTAAACTGTGCCATTAGACCTATCAGCTGCTAACTGCTGTTAGAACCTTAACATGCGGTTGACACACACATAAACACTCTAAGGATTTTTAAAATCCCTGTTTTATACTGGATATTGTGGAGGAAGGAAACAGGCTTACATTACTATGTCTTTGTTTCTTACTACATTTAAAGTGCGTGAATCTGGACAAAAATGCTTTTGACCAATTTCAGGCAAAGGGTTAGATCCAGTCTAGACAAGCAATTTCCACTGATTCTCTCTTCCCATGGCATACTTCCCCTCAGGTAATTCCTCAGAGTCCCCCATCACCAAGGAGCAGGATTTTGTGAAAATCAGTAAGCTATCGTCAAGGGGGGGGGGCAGGAAATTTCTGTTGATGGAAAATGTATTCTGTATCTAAACCAAAGTTCATAAAGCCAGCCTAAAAATAGAAAACCAAATAGAGGGTCTGAAGGTACCAGATAATCAATCTCAAAGAGGCAGATTTTGAGATCTGAAACCTAGAGGTGTCGTTACTGATTGGCTAAGGTCTGAATAATATAAACAAAAGGGAACCAGAGACCAAAGTTTAGATGGACACATTTTCCTTTGTTATTTTTCCACAAATATCTTATGATTTTGGGCAATCTGCTTAAAAATTATTTTAGGGTATATTATTGAGGCTTTTAAAAATCTTCAGTAAAAACCTTACTTTGCTGAGTGTTAGCATGTTGGTCTTTGTTTTAATTCCACTGTTTAGTTATGTCATGTGTGCTCTTAGAAAACCCAGAACGTTACAAAGATAAGCTATTGGGTAGAGGTGGCTGAGAAGGAAAATAAGACTTCCACCTGGTGGCAGTGATAAAGGCAACGAGTATAAACTACTGCCTAAATCACAACAAGGTGGGATTAAAACCAAATTATTTATTTTCTTTATTAGATTTTTTAGTCTTCACTCACCCAAAGGGTCTCTTGGTGTCTTAAAGCCAATAAGGTAAAAACAATGTAAAAACAAACAACCAATATAAGATATTAAATTAAAACATTAAAATACATGGCTATCACCATACTACTATTAAAACAGCCCAAACTATAGTTATTTACTCTCCAAAGGCCAACCTAAACAATTCAGATCTGGATGCCCTGTGGAAACTAAACAAGTTTCGGAGGGCACAGGTGTCATCCAAAAGTGCATTCCACAGGGTAGTGGCTACAACCAAGGCGGTTCTTCCCCTGGTGACAGCTAACTGAGCGATCCTTGGGCCAGGCACCTGCAAGAGGCCCCCTGGACAATGACCAAAGGGAACACGGGGGGGTGTAATAGGAGAGGCAGTCCCAAAGGTATGAGGGTCTCAGACTGTTAAGGGCTTTAAAGGTTAACACCAACATCTTGAATTCGATCCAGAAACTAATTGGTAGCCAGTGCAGCTGCTGCAGAATTGGAGTAATGTGTTCCAGTCAGCAACCTGGCAGCTGCATTCTGGACCACCTGCAGTTTCTAAAGCATTTTCAAGGGTAGCCCTACATCAAGCAAATTGCAGTAGTCCAATCT